GGACTGCATTCCCCAGAGATTTTTAGGCACGCCACACAGGGCGGGTATATTTTGGATGAAGGCGCCTGGCTCGGCTGGAGTGACACCCGCAGCTGCGGCACCACTCAGCACAGCGAGCATCCTCCCGTCCTGCTTGCTGCTGCCTGATGCACCAACGCCGTGCAAAAACCATCCTGCCAAGCTGTCCCCTGGCCGCAGCTCGCTGGCGAGCTAAAACCGTGCAGGAAAAATATCTACAAGTCATCAGCTCCTTCTGATGCATTCATGGGTGAGCAGCTGGCAGCCCGACCCCTCTAGCAGCTCCTGCTCTGCCAGCAGTGCTCCGCCTCCCCAAAATAGCTGCCCCGAGGGAGACCACAGCTAATCCCCCATCTCAGTCGCTGTGCTGATGAATCCGGACCTGGAACCAAAATAGCCAAGTTGATCTTCGGGATAACTGGTCATGCACAGCTGAGCTCCCGGTCAAAGCAGCTTGGCCACCACCATGAAGCAGAGAAGACTATGATGCACCTCCAGCTTTAAATAATGGGGTGGCTGCAAGCCCTGGATAACAAAACACCAGGGTCCTTGGTCTAAATTGGTCTCAGGCCAGGGATCCACGGGGCAATGCCACAGAGGGGCCGGAGAGGGCAGCTTGCAGCACGTGAGTGGGCAGGCAGGCGGCCGACCCAGCAGGCACCGGCACGCACGGCTCCAGCAGGAGCATCCAAGGCCACACCGGATCGCTCGTCCTTTGGGGAGGAAGAGAGGGAAGGAAACCAGATGACTCGAGGGAAAACACCTCTCAGAGCAGTCCTTCTTCCTTCCCAGGAGACAGCGTTCATGGCCAGCTTCTGGAACTAATTATTTTATTACAAACCACCTAGCATCCCATTCCTGAAGCATTTAACAGCTTACACAAGTTTCCCTGGTACGTGATTTTGCATATCGAAAACTATCAACTTTCCCCAAATAAGCATGGCTACGAAAGCCAGCAGAGCTCAACGGTGTTGGACAAACCTTCTCAGAGAGTTGGTGCTTGTTCACGTGGTCCAAGCCCAACCTCAGCAACCACTCCTGGTCCCGAGAGACCCCTCCGTTACAGCTGGACACAGCAGTACCAGCGATGCAAGAGCTCGGTTCTGAGGTAAGATGGGAGGATAATCTGCAGCCTATAAATAGGACCAATAAACCACAATTACAAACTCTGCTGAGACAATTCATTTATCCAGATGTTCCCATCATGTCATTCTCAATTGAGCAGTAAATGATAGGCCTAACGGGCATTTCCCCGCTAAATGCTGCATATGAGAAATCACAACTCCAAACCCAATGCTGCTGATGGTACGGGACCTGTCAGAGGCAAAAACTTCAAGTATTTCTCATTCTTGTTTTGGACAGGTTTCAAGCATCAAAATTCCTCGGTTTGAAGGAAGATATAGAGAGGAGATGAGGCTCTAGGCAGGTGTTTTATTTCCATTTTTTCATCTCACATCTGGTGGAAGTCAAGCCCTTCCCCCTAAAGCCAGAGGGGTGACCAGCCAGCCTATGCCACCCCCTGCCCACTCCTGCTGTGACATCTCCTAACAGTACTTTTTCTCCTAAAAGGGGATGGTGCATCCCACGCACACCCAGGGAGCAGGGGTGTCGAGCAAGGTGGCCACCCGAACCCCATATCCTTGCAGAGCAGCTTATTTACAGCAGTAGCTGAGCTGTTTCTACCTGATTTTCCCAGTGTCCTGAGGGCACAGAAGGATCAGAGGAATGTCATCTCTTAAATAACCTGAGCCCTGTGTTTGCACGGACCAAATGGACTCATGCAATCAAATTAAACACTGCAAGTTTATCAACATTTCCTCCAAGTGCCTCAAGGATAACAAGTTTAGTAGAAGCTATTTAGAAGAAAAACAGGATGTCGGAGATAAAGAACAAGCTCTTTAATACACCTCTGCTTCCTGTGTAATGGCTTCACTGAAGGTCTGGAGGAGGAGATGGATTGCATCTCATCAACCTTGCACATAGCACCAAACCAGGGCCAAAAGCAAAGTCCTGCCCCTGGGACACACTCAGCCCCTGCATGGGGGCAGCCCAGGTTGGGACAGCTCTGCTGGGATGGCCCCAGGGGCGGGAGCAGCGCAGCCGGTGGCTCCAGTGCAGCCAGGAGACCCAGGGACGTGGTTATCCCCTTCTCCTGCTGCTCACCACATCTGGATGCTGCCTCCAAAGGTGTTGACAGAGGGGGACAGGTCCCCCAGTGACCCCCACGGCAGCTGGGGGCTGGAGCAACGGCAGCAGCCCTGGACATTTTTGAGGACCAGGTGAGGTTTCTCAGCACCAGAAAACCTCCCACAGTCTTTCCACTCTCTTTTCTTCCCCTCCATTTTGTCACCAATAAAGGGGAAGGAAAACCCAAGCTCTCCTTTTCAAAAGCTATCTATCTATCTGTATGTATGTATGTATGTATGTTTACATACACACATATATACAGAGATTTTAATTTGGTACAGAAGAAAGGGGCATGAAGCAGGAAATCAACCAAAATCTTACAAAAACTCTAATTTTTGTGCAAAACACTCATGGCATATGGCAACATCTGCTCACCATTTCCAACTGACCTCAATCCCTGCCTGGTGCTGCAAGAGCTCACTTTTGTTCACCGCTTCATTTTCCCAGAGAAAGGCCACGGCACAACAACGCTGTATGATGTGGAAAGCCAGCTCAGCGTGGAGAACGGGTTTTTATTTTCTCTTTTCAGGCCCTCACACCAATATACAGACACCCCTAACCAGTCTTTACAACGTTAATCAAAACCATCTCACCAGGAGAATGATTTACGCCATGGCAGCGCCGAAAAAATCAGCTCTGCTGATTATAAATAGGAAAGAGCTAATCCAAAGAAAGCATCGTTCAGATAGTTTGCAATAAAAAAAAAAAATGCCCAAAAAAGACAAAAAAGAACCCCACAGAGCAGCACGTTCCCCAGATGCAACATCCCTGCTCTCCCTGATGCTGCTGCATTAAGTAGGGTTCCCTTAACACCCTCATTATTCCCCCAAAGGATGCCTCCGAGCACTCCGCCAGGAAAGCAGACCACATCTCCAGTACTCCTAAGTCATAAATCACCGCTAATTCCTTGACACTGATTACAAACAGGAGGCTTAGCAGAAGACTGCCATGCCGTACCATGCCAGCCTCTCCCTCTAGTTGCTAAGAAAAATCAACACACAACTTTTGGAACTAGCAGGCGAGCCAGCAGGTCCAGCGGGACAGCCTGGGATTTTCTTATAGGGTCTGAGAGCATTTCAGTGGATTATGGAGTTTTCAAGCTGAGTTAGGGCATTTTGGACTGTCTGGAGAACCTGAGTGCTGAGAAAAAAGAAAAATCTCATGGAAAATATGTCCATCAAGCAGTGAGTCACCAGAAGAGGTAATTGAGCTGTGATGGGGATCCCAATCTACTGCCTTATTAACACATGTACATACCCAGCATGTAGCAGACAGTGAGAAGAGTGGTCTTTTCCCGTTGAAGCTCCCCCACTGGGGCGTGTGTGTACCTATGTCTTCATAGGTACATAATTGTATTGAGCAAGACTGCCATCCTGATTTCCAAACACTGCTTAGGTTGGGCTCCTTGAAAGCCCATTTAATCACAGAATGGATGATGCTGGGGAGAACCTCTGGAGGTTCACCTCATCTTGTCCAAATGCCCCTGCTCAAGCAGGGCCACCTAGAGCTGGTTGCTCATGACCATGTCCAGATGGCTTTTGAGTATCTCCAAGATACTCAAAGATGGAGACCCCACAACCTCCCTGGGTGACCTGTGCCAGGGCTTGGTCACCCTCACAGTGAAGAAGCATTTCCTGATGTTCAGAGGGAACCTCCTGTGCTTCAGTTTGTGCCCATTGCCTCTGGTCCTGTCACTGGGCACCACTGACAAGAGCTTGGCTCCGTCCTCTTTGCACCCTCCCTTCAGATATTTATATACCTTAATAAGATCCCCCTGAGCCTTCTCTTCTCCAGGCTGAACAGCCCCAGCTCTCTCAGCCTTTCTTCATAGGAGACATACTCCAGTCCCTTCATCATCTCCATGGCCCTTCGTTGGACTCTCTCCAGTATGTCCATGTCTCTCTCGCACTGGGGAGCCCAGAACTGGACCCAGCACTCCAGGGGCAGCCTCTCCAGTGCTGAGTACAGGGGAAGGATCACCTCCCTCGACCTGCTGGAGACACTTCTAATGCAGCCCCAGACACCATGCATCTTCTTTGCTGCAAGGGCACATTGCTGGCTCATGTTCAACCTGGTGCCCACCAGGCCCCCTGGGGCCTTTTCTGAAAAGCTGCTTTCCAGCTGGATGATCCCCAGCACGTCCTGGGACCTGGAGTTGTTCCTCCCCAGGTGCAGGACTTTGCACTTCCCCTTGTTGAACTTCATGAGGTTCCCATCAGCCCATTTCTCTGGACAGCAGCACCACCCTCTGGTGTGTCACCCACTCCTCCCAGTCTGGTGTCATCTGCAAACTTGCTGAGGGTACACTCTGGCCCATCACCCACACCATTAATTAAGAGGTTAAGTAGGACTGGACCCAGCAGTGACCCCTGGGGCACACCACTAGTTGCTGGTCTCCAACCAGTCTTTGTCCAACAATCACCACCCTCTGGGCCTGGCTATTCTGCCAGTTTTCATCCAGCCCACGCTTCATCAGCTTGTCTGTGCGGATCTTATGGGAGACAGGGTCAAAAGCCTCACTGAAGTCCAGGTAGACAACACCCACTGCTCCCCCCTCCAAGGCCACCTCATGGCGCCTCCACAAGCAACTGGGACAGGGAAGACCCTTCAGCTGGACCCAGCAGGGGTGGAGCGAGGGTGGCATCAGCACTTGCAAAGTGGAGTGAAACAGCACATTTGTTCCCCTCCATGAAATAAAACCCACCACTGCCCTCCTCACACTCGAAAATCAAAGATGGGTGCAGGTGGTCCTGGGACGCTGGGAAGGGAGGGGCGAGCAGAGAGACCTCACTTACCCCACGGTCTCGTCCCAGTCGCACCAGAGCCGCTGCCCGATTCCCTCCATGCTGAGCTGGAACTGCTTCAGGCAGTAGTGCCGGATCATCCAGCCGTAGTCCGCCTCCTGGCACGCCGTCGCCGCAATGAAGTGATGGGCTGGAAGACAGGCAAGGGGCGAGCGGGGTTAGGCTCTGCTGCAGCACGTCATGGCCCAATGACAGCCCCTTGCCCCCCACCACGTGGTCCCTCCGCAGCTTTTCACACAGAGGGCATCTGCCAAAGCAAAGCTGGACATCAAAGCAACCCCAATCTCAACCAGCTTCTTCAAAACAGCCTTCTCAGGGTTTTATTTCCCTCTTCACATGCCTCTGACCCTGCAGCATCATCCTCCATTACCCTCCCAAGTGCCTGACGCTAGATAAATCAATTATTCAAAATATGCCAGGTAAGTCATAAGTAAGTTAAGGACGCAGATTTATTCTCTGATGATCACTTGACACACGTCTTTGGACTTTAAATTCCCAGTTTTTCAGTTTACAAAAAGAGTAAGGGTGTGGGGGAAGTTGGGGAATAACCCCACGGCTCCCAACCAGATCCCTGCTGGTGAGCAAAGGACCCTCTAAAAATTATCTGCATGGTGCCACACTTGGAAACAAATATCCATCTCTGATGGAGCGCAGGGACAAGTGTGGTGAGATTCATCTCTGGCTTCATGGCGCTGATTTAATTCACCTCTGGGTATGAGCCCCTGTCACCCAGTGCCTTCTGGTTTGGGACCAGAGAAGGAAGAGATGCCGCTTACTTCCCTACAAGTTTGTGCACAATTAGTGCAATGTTGCTAGCAAGTGGTAAGGGAAAAGGACAGTAATGCTGCAAAGGGAAGAGGGAGCGGGCTCGAAGAAAGAAAACCTTCGGTGGAATGATTTACTGAGCCTAGCTATAAATAATATCTTTCCCTTGGTCCCAAAGTGCCAGCTAGTGCCTTTGCAGCTCCTGGAGTACATTGCAGGCAGGCATCGCATACCAGCTCTATTTTTTGCTACGCACGAATAACTCTGCGCAAAAGAGTGGGGCTTTATTTTTATCTTATTTTTTAACAAAACAGAATTTAGCTACTTATTTAGTAGTCTGCATATGAAAGCCATGGGACATTACCAGCAGCTCCTGCCTGGGGGATGCCCTCCTTGAGCGGTCCCTCTGCAGCCCCCAAATCCTTGGAGCGCTTAGGTACCAGCATCCTATGGTAACGGGTGGGAACTCAGGACATTTGATGGCTGGGAGGCTTTTCTCCCCGTCTCATCCCTTCAAATTCAGATGAATCAAGTGAACAAGTGACATGGCTGAGTGAGCACCAGCATCCAAGGGAGGTTCAGGTGCCACCCCGCGGGGTCACCCCTCAGTGAAGACCGTGCACCAGACTGCGAAGGACAAGCACCCTGCAAACATTACGCAGCCAGACAAACAGCTTGCAGAGAAAACGCCGCTGGCAAACACATCGAGTGTGGAGCAGGAGAGAGCTGCATAAGGGTAGAAAGGAGGGCAGGGGAGGCAAACAGATTAAAAAGCAGCTGGACAAGTGGCCAAGGGGGTTGAGGAGCAAAGGAAGCAACAGAGCCAGGCAGAAATGAGTGAGAGATGGAAAGCATGGAGAGAAATGGAGGAAGACAAAACTGCTTTAAGAAATTCAACAGCCATACAGCACACGAAGAAAGAGAAGTTAACTGAGCATGGCCAGGCTGCCCTTTGCCTGGCTTTGCTCCTCCCCTGCATCCCCAGCAGGGATGAGCCTAGAGACAAATCATCACTTGTATCACAAAAACAACTATCCTTAGAGATGCCCAGACATTTCCTGATGACCACGCAGCTCTCCTGCAGAACGGACCTAGAGGAAAACACCTTAACAGGCAGCTCTACCTTGGGTGGAAAAAGGAGCAACACTAAATAAACCATGGGGATGAAGCAACTGAGAACCACAAACGGGCTGGAACACCTGCTTGAGTAGCTGCAAGCCACATATATCTGGTAGTCAGCATGAAAATGAGCCCTACTATTAAAAGAAAAAGAAAAAAAACAACCCAAACCAAGTGAAAACAAAAACCCACGGAGCTTCAAGCACTTGCCAATCAAAGCAGCTCAAAAGATGCTGCTGGGTTGGACGTGGCCGTGGGCTGAGTACAGGTGTGGGCAGCCAGGAGAGAGCCAGAGCACAGGCTTCGTCATCCCCGAGCGTGTGACTTGTATGCTTGCACTTTCTTCCTGCCTCTTGTCTCAGCTCTGAAGGTCCTTTGCAGGCACAGCACCACCTTTCTTTCCTCCCTGCCAGCTCTTCACAATGTTCTCCATGAGCTCTGCCTTCCCCGTGAGGCCTTGCCTTCTGCAGCAGTGAACACTGCAGATGCCGACAGCCAAGGCTTGGCTTGGTAACCCCCAGGAGCAGTGCAGAGACCACGCTCCTGGAAGACGTCTCTCCCACATCTCCCATACCTACACGTGGAGTCTGTCTGCAAATCCTTTTCCCTGGGGGACTGGGGAAACCAGACCCATCAGCCAATGACTGAGACATTTCATGAGGACATTTGATTTTTAACATCGTGAAGGGTTCTTTTGTTTTATACATCAGAGGCAAAGAGCATCCAAGAGGAAAAAGGCTCAACAGAGCCCGTCGTGTAAATGCTGCAAGGGTGGAGCTGGCCACAGCGAGGCCGAAAAGCTCTTTTGTTTTCAGCTGGCTGAGGAGAACTGGCTTTAGCTTTAAATGCACATTTTAAGGTCAAAGCGAGGAGAAGCTCCTGCCACGTTTCCACATGGTCCCCACCTAAGCCCACGGATATTTCCCTGCTGCTTCCCAGATTTCCCCCAAACCCATATTTATTGACACGTCAGGCTGGGACGGGGTCAGGGTTTGTAACAACAGAGGAAGAAAAGCAAGAAGGGATTTTTGTATCTCCTGGCTCTCATTCCAGAAGGTTTTCCTTCCCCCCTCACAGCCCTGCTGACAGAGGCGGCGTAAGTCAGCTGCAGTGAGCTGTAAATAACTGAGCTCTGGAGCGGTCACGTCTCTGTACTTAGCAGCATCCATTTGTGAAGGCTGTAAGGAGCTGCTGAATAAATGAGCTCCAAAACCCCACTATACCAAGGCTGAGCTGCCTCCAAGAGCTCTCGTCTTACATGCCCCTGCCACTCCCGTTCCCTTGGGAAAAACGGCATTGGGAGCTGCGGGAGCACAGTGGTCCCCTGGGAACATCCCACTGGAGCCATGTGGTACCTCCAAAGCCCTGCTTGGTCTTTAGGTGCCGCCTAGACACGGAGCAAGGGGTTATCTCCGTCTTCGCCTGTCTCCCCAGCCTGTGCATCCATATAGGTGATACCACTGCGAGCTGTCAAAATTTCATCCTTGTGTGCGCGCTGCCTTCTGCATGCAAAGACGTCTTCTGCTGGAAGGCAGCACCATCCGATGTGATGCTTACCTCACCGTGAGGACCTGTGTGACTGTTGATGAACACCCCTCCCTGCCGAGAGGAGCACTGATTGCCTGTTAAAAGACATAACTTTAAGGATCCTTAATTTGCCTCCTCACAGGGAACACCCGGAGAGCAGCGGTGAGGAAGTGATTGGAGGGAAGGCTTTTTCAGGCATCCCAGATACTCTTGATTGCCCTGGGACTGATGTCCTGGAGAGTCCCAGAAAACGCCTACCAGGGTTCAGCTTACTGAGGGAGGGTTAGCTGCAAAAAACCCCAAATCATTCATGTACTTCAGCAGAAAAATGTTGTTGGCCCTGAATTGCTAAAAAAATTTCAGGAAAATAACTGGACTTTCTTCCGTTGCACTTCTTATAGCTGGAGTCTGGGCCAAGAGCTCTGGGCTCACAGCTCCAGAAAACAACTTGGTGGACACCACCTCCTCCTTCTCCTCCTGCCACTGCTGCAGAGTCCGCACACTTGCCACAGTGATGGTTCACCAGCAGAAAGTCCTGAGCTTTCTCTACAAGAAAAGTTTTTCATTTCACATCACCGTACCCTCTGCGTAATTTGGTCTCCGGCCATTTTCTCCTCAGTCTTCTGGGACTTCTTAGGCTCGTCTTGCTGGGACACGCAACCAACCCCAAGGGGAGGTGGAGGCACTCAGGACCGCGGAGCCTGAGAACAGATGAGCATTTCAGGCTGGCATGGCACAGGAGGTCAAAGTGATGCCAGTGTTGACGGACCTGGTTCCCAGGCATTATGACAGAGCCTGTTGGCATTTTTTGCAAGCCTTGCTGCCCCAGCCCTCTGCCATTCGACCTCTGGATGCTGCCCGACACACGTGCGCGCTGGGAATATACGGAGAGTTTTGGGCAGTGAGTCCCAAGTAAGGCAGTCTGGTTTTCGGGGAGATCCCACCAAACTGGACTCACACGCTGTGTCCTTCTGGGCTTGCTGGCTTTCTCCAGACACAGCCGGGCCAGCCCCAAGCCATCGGCCACGTGGCTCCTGCAGATGAAGGCTCCTCACCCAGCGCCTGGACTGTACCCCCCGTTTGCAGTCTCATCCAAGAAGGAAGCCCTTGATGGAGGCTCTTATATAGGATGGGAACTGGAGACACCCTAATTTGTGAACCCTTTCAGTGGCACCCACTGGGTGCTGTTGGAGGGGCTGCCAGTCCCACCCAGCACGGCTGTAGCTCACTGCTACAAAACAGAGGAGCTTGACTCCCCCAAGCCCACGACACTCCTTGATGGTGTTGGATGAAGGATGAAACTATTTGACTCTGTGTGCAGAGTAGTCCCCAGACCATCCTGACTATAGCTGGACAGGCAGGATTTTTTTGGTGGAAACCATTCATGGCTTCATAGCAAAGAGCAGAAAATAGCTAGTTATTCATCTGAAAGCTTAGAGGCCTCATTAAACCCCAAAGGATCGCAGATAATTGCAAAATGACACTCACAGCAGGGCTGGCAATGAACAAGCCACACGTAGCTAAACCTGGGCACCAGCAAAGTTCTGGGCTCAAAGAACAAACATCCCAATATCTTCTCCTGGGCTTCTCCCAAATGCTGTGACCCCCCCTGTGAAATGATTAGCTCTCTCAACAAGCCTGAGATGAAAACAGTCTGTTTTCCCCTCCTTTTTGGTGTGGTTGTTTGCTCTGTTTTATTGAGAACAAGCCTCGTGGTTT